GTGTCAATGTCTAAACGAAACTGTACTGTTCCAGCTTTCAAAAGAGAATTCGCGTGAATAAACGGCACCAAAATGCAAAATGATTGATATAAATTAATAATTGTTAAAAATTCTTAATGCCCTTCCTTTTTTCCCTTTTATTTTTCTTTCTTTCGTGTTTTACCTAAATCAGGCGGACATGCTGACCAAACGTCTTGAGACAGTCGCGTCTCCAGTTATTTCTGAAGTAGTACAACCTGATGGAGACAACCTTCAAAGTCGAGTGCTGAGTGACGTTCTATTGCCTGAAGTAAGATCTTGTTTACTTCTTAACGTACCTGATTGTCATACTGAACATCGCAATTTTGGCGGGACAGAATTTTACAACTGAAACTACAAAATGGAGCTTATCAATAAAACAATTAGCCTGCGTGGCAGGCGCAAACAAGGGGAAAGGAAGAGGGAGGGAGAAAGCGTATCTTATTCCTCCTTCTCCTTTCGACGCATGGTACACAGGTTTGTGATTTCAATTTCCAACAACGGTATTAAATTTAGCGCGCTTAAATATCGCGAGCGTTAAAATTCGCGGGTCTTTTATTTCGTGGTTTTCTTCCCATCGCGAAAATCACGAAATTAAAGACCCGCAAATCACTCCGCTTGTTTGGTAATTTGGCAAAAAAAATTCAATGTTAGGAATTGGTGTTCTGACTCAATGTATGATGTTTGTCTGTTTGTCTTGCAGAGTATCATTAGGCTCATCATGCACCTGGAGGAAATGAACTGTTTTAGAGCATGCCAGTTCTTCGAGACTAGTCGAAACGCGTCCTTATCTTCTTAAACCATATCGAGTGGTTATGCGTTAAAAAGGAGTTACAGGCTGCAGTTTAATCTCCTAGCCTGTACATGCCTCGGTCATTTTCATTAGACCAGTGGTAGCTACATCCATTCCCAGACAGTATCGCCGGGTAGAAAAAAATCTCCTGTTGTAAACTAGAAATTGGGTTAACAGCTTCTCCCTTCTCAAGTTATATCCTAACTGTGTACACTTAAAAACTTTCGATTAGTAAGAATTCCTATCAGGTAGAACAATTATTAATTTTTTTCCTTCCGATTGAGTCCAGTATGTCGTAACAAGAAAATCAATGTCTAGTTAATGTCCATTTACTACAAATCGAAAATAGTGTTACAGTAAAACAAAAGAGTTAATGTTCGTGGGCAAAAATATGTTTTGCACCCCCGACTCGTAATGGACACTATAAGCAGGGCCCAAACTATATTTATGCTCAAGAACATCAACTCTGTTAGTATTATTATCACCTTTGGAGGGCATTGAAAATAAAGACAACGAGACAGACTGACTCAAATCAACCGAGCATTTGCCGGCGACGTCAACCAGAACGGCAAAAAACGATAGGTTTTGATTAACATAACAAATTTGCAGACGTGCATCACGCTATTTTGTACATTTCGTTGCCGTCTTTGTATGACTACAACGTGAAAGTGCCCCGAATTCACGTTTCGTCGCGGAAGGGAATACAAGACAACACATTTCTTTTCGTTTCATAAACTTTGATACAGTATTTTAGAATTCAACTCCTAAAACATTTCTCATCATTTCACAAAGATGTGATAAGCGAGATAAAGTTTGAAGCAGCTCGAATTCACTTATTGAGAGAAGTTTTTCTTCCCATCTCTGTCGTTGTTGCTTAAGCTGCCTAATTAGGGACCTTACGAAACTACGACGGTGACAGCAACGGTAACGTCAAAAAAGCAGTACGTTTAATGAGCAAGACAACAACTGTGCACGTGCATCACGCTTTTTTGTACATTTCTTTGCCGTCCCTGCACAGCTACAACCCCAACTGACCAAATTTTGAGTTGACTTGAGGACGGGAACGGCAAGGCGATAAATTTTACTCTCTCTCTCTCTCTGAACTCGGACGCTGTCCCCTTTTTTCAGTTTCAACTTTCAAGTAAAAGGGTGACTTGGTATTAGTGCAGAAAAGTTTCAAAGGACGCAAAGTCTATTTTTCAGCGACGTTTTCATTGGCGTCGATGGTACGGCCACTGTTAATAAAATAAGAGTACGGGTACGTATCAACCATTGTCCATCTTCCTTTGATCTGTTACATGCTCAAAAACGAACGTTAATGCCACGTCAAAGTACAGAAACAGTGGTCTTCGTCTGAGTTTCTCACGTTAACTGAACATTCACCGTTGTTACTATTAGGGTGCTCTCTATTTTTCAGAACTGATCGGCCAGCCCACTCCCATCGTGATGAGAATTTCACTTTCAATCAAAACTAACCATCCAGCTCAGTCAAACACTAAATGTTATGCATCTCAATGGATTAAGTGCCTGAAGTCAAATTATGTTGTTTGCAAAGCAAAATTAAGTAGAATCGAGTCACTTTAGAGTTGCAAACCCTTTTCAGGCCATAGTTCTGGGTTTTGCATGATATTTCAATGTCACATAGTAGCCTGTCATCACTCTACAATGCCTTAGAGCACATGCAAAGAACATGAGGATGCTTATACCGAGAAAAGTCCTTTTTTTTACCAAATGAGCTCGCCGACAAAGAACATGCATGTATGAGAGAATCGTAAGAGACATTTCACTGATCTTTACCGAATTTAGAGATGCTCTTTTATGATTTCTGTGAAATTATTATCTCAATGGAATAGGTGCCTGAAGTCCAATTATGTTGTTTGCAAGGCAAAATCAAGTAGAATCGAGTCACTTTAAAGTTGCAAACACTTTTCAGGCCATAGTTCCGGGTTTTGCCTGATATTTCAATGTCACATAGTAGCCTGTCATCACTCTACAATGCCTTAGAGCACATGCAAAGAATACGAGGATGATTATACCTAGAAAAGTGCTTTTTTTCCAAATCAGCTCACCGACAGAGAACATGCACGTATGAGAGAATCGTGAGAGACATTTCACTGATCTTTAACGAATTTAAAGATGCTCCTTTGTGATTTCTGTGCAATTAATATACCTGGATTTTTGAAAACGGGTTAGCAAAAATATCAGCTCATTCTACTACTTGGCAATTTAAAACAACAAAACTCATTCAAAGGCCGATGAAAAGCCTTTATCTGACGCCGGGTAGTAAGTTAATGGTCCCTAGAAGCATTCCAACGAGTCCAAATTTAAAATGACGATTAGAACATTTATTCAGTAAACTGACTTCGCGAAGTTTCAAACCGGTGTCATTTCAGTCTAGAAATTTTTAAGTTGAGTGAGCTGCAGCGAAAGAGTGCCTGGTTAAGACTTACATAACAACTTAAAAAGTTAACAAAACACTACTTTTTTTCGCGGTCCGATAAAAGCTGATAAACAACAGGATTCCGCATGGAATAGACAACAAACTGAATGAAACATAGTGCACAAATTATCACCTCCTTATCTGCAAAAACCGGCCTATGGTGCAATGCCATGAGACCCCGCTGAAACTAGACCTAGATTATGGCAAGCCAAATGTAGCAATATTCAATTCGTCTAATTTTATATCTAGTTTTGTATTTTGTATTCAACTATGCGTTCAATATTCAACTTGTATTCAACATTCAACGCGTTATTCAATATTCAACTTCCCATTCGTGTTCCTAAAGCAAACAGGAGAAGAATAACACAACCAGTGAATTTCCACGAGTACTCGTTCAAACAGGTAAAATCACTGGCCGGTCAAGGGGCTATTTACCTCAGACTGAAACATGGCTTTGGCTTTCTTCTAGACAATCAAGGCTCAGATAATAGTAGCTTGAAAGACAATGACGTCAGTAACCACACAAAGAGAAGCATGCCCATATCCACTTTGCAACCACCACAACGCCCACAAGAAGGCAGCAACCACACTCAGAGTAGCCCGTTATCCATCCCACAAGGTTCACAGGTGAGCAGCAACCACACACAAAGTAGACCTGTATCCACCCTGCAACCAACGGAGGGACCACAGGCAGATCTTAGTGATCAGTCATTTCTGATCACTGGACAGAGCAATGAAAACCTGAATGCAATCACTGTTGTTAGCTTTGCCAATCTGGAAGCAGCTGTTGCAGAGTGCATTAGCATCTGTAAGAAAGACAATGTTTGTAATCCCGTGGAGATACTAAGGTGTGCCCAAAAGCTTATTGTGCAGGGTCGTCCCTCGGATGTAAACTCGCCTGACCAGCCACTCGATGGTGAAACTAACTTTGTCAGTATTGACCGATTTAATATTTTGGAATCAGCTATGGAAGAATTCAAAGATCTTCAAAACCCAAGACTCACATTGGAAGTTTCATTCTATGGAGAACAGGCCCATGATGCTGGGGGTCCAAGGAAAGAATTTTTTCGGCTTTGTCTTAAAGAAATACAGCAAAAGCTCTTTGAAAATGGACTGCGCGAACTCATGGCTGAGGAATATGAGTTTGCTGGAACTATTATGGGCTTGAGTATTCTTCAGAATGGACCCACCCCACGGTTTATTCCTGAAGAAATTTTACAGGAGATTTTTTCAAAGGATCCTGCAAGGCCACGCATTGCAGAGCTGCGGAAAGGATTCATGAAAATTGGTCTATATTAAGTTGCAACGAGTCTACCAGTCTTTCTTTATCTGCTGCGCGCAAATGAATCAAATCAACTCTCCAGACGACAGCTCATCCTACTCCTCCGGCCATCATTCTCCGAGGAAGGCACAAATGTACGCAAGTATGAAAATGATGCCTACGCTGCATTCTCAAAGTATGTGCGAGAAGCTGCAAGTGGAAGAAGGGGTAGAATCACTCTTGGGAGCATTCTACAATTTGCAACTGGGATGGATGAAGAACCGCCCCTTGGCTTTGAACTACAACCTAGTATTCAATTTGTTGCTGCTAATGAAGGGATCAAGGGGTCTTTCATTCCAAAAGCTAACACTTGTAGCAAAACAATGTTTTTACCAAGGGGCTCCAACAGTCGTTCTTTACCAGCTGAGAAGGAACTCTTTGAAGTTTATGATATTGCCTTTACAAATACCTTCTTTGGACTTTCATAAGGAAACTGTACATTTGATACAGCTTTCTCTGTACTTGTTTGTGCCTGGCTTTGCTGGACTAAAGAACTTTTGACTTATAATTTAGTGTTTATAGTGACAATTCTTTCACATTTTCAGACAAAAAAAACATTAATTATAACAAGGCATAGATTTATATTTATAAGTTGTTTTGAAATGTAGATAGCCTCCTCTTGTAAAAAAAAATTCACTCTATAAATTTGAGTGTTGCTTCTTGTAAATGAAGAACACAGAATGGAACAGCATAGTGAGGGAAGGTTTTTATTACCAGGTCTGCCAAAATGGGTTTGCAAAGAGCTTTTACCACTGGTGAACTTCATGTCATGTTCTAAATGTAGCAGCACTTCAGCCCATACTAAAAAGAAGAGTGTTGACTTAAAAACATTTCTACCTGATAACATCATCATACTTTCATTCTCCTTTTACCACATTTTTATCTATGTTGTTAGGACAATTTGCTCAACAGAAATGTTATAATATTTTTATTCATCCCTTTTGACCAGAGTATTATCGCATGTTTCATTTATAAAAATAGAAATTCAAGTTTGTTATGTTAATGTTTACAATAGTTTATCTTTATCCCAAAGCAATATTACATTACGAAAGTATCACTGTATGGTTGGAAGAAATATTTTTAAAATAACTTTACAGTTGACGAGAATGTTGCTTTACTGTTCATTTAGATTTTTTCAGTTTAATGGAATGTTCCTGGCTTTGTATCAATTGCTTTGTTTTCAAGAAGACATGTCCTTTTCACTGTTGTTAAAAAGATAACACTACATACAGAAAGTACTAGTGAAAGAATTACAAAATTGTCAATTGTCAACACAATCACATCCCAGAAATATTTCTGGTGTTCACGGTTTGACTGTATAAACTTCCACCAAAAAAGGTTCTGAGTCTCTAGTTTAGGCTTAGCATACAAAGAATTAAATTAATATGAAAGCATAGCATCTTGAAATAAATTGTCTTTCCAGATCAAAACATTCAACATACAGCTATAAAATACAAATACAGGTATTATAATTTATTATTACTGCTTGCGGCCAACAGGACATTAACTAAAGTTTGGGGCCTATAGGGATGGGCTGGCTGGTGAAAGTGGAAACCCCAGATACTCTAAACAAGTATTATCTTCAAGTCCTATAATATTATTAGTAATAACTTAAACAATAGACCTATTCAGCTAACTCAATGTTGTACCCAATTCAAACCCTTTGGGGATAAAACGTTTTGTCTCAGGAATTTCCATATCATTTAAATGTGAATGCCACATTATAATGCAAATACAATACACAAAGAATCCTGGGGAGATTTGAATTGGGTACAACATTGAGTTAGCCGAATAGGTCTATTGAACATGCACCTGCCTTTTTGTAGAATTGTCTAACTTTTACTTTGTCAAAAAATGAGCATCTTCCTAAAAATGCTTTCCTGAAGAGATACACTGTTTTTACACAAAGAATGTGCTTCAACAACTTAGCCAGATCGGTTGAACAGGGTCCGAGTTGTAACTTAATTTAATATCCCTAGGTGGTAATATCTGTGGGGGTAGCGGGGACAATCTTATATAAAAGTGATAGGGATGCTCATCATCTCGCTTAGGGATAGGAATTGCAGATTTTTGTGTTACTTTAACTTAGGGTGTTCAGGATAGGAAGCCAGTATTTTCACTCATAAATGTTTAAGTCAAGGTTATCTGTAAGAAATACTCGTGAAGAAAAGGAATGTTGGCAAACTGTGATAGGGTATGATCTCCGCTGGGGGTCAAATAAAGCCTGAGCTATCCCCACATTGGTCATTTTTAGGGGTGTAGTTGTAATTTTCCCACAAGCATCCTGTTCATTCTTATATAGGAGTCTGTCCTCCTCACCTCCGGGTAGGAATTTTCTGTTCCAGGGAGGTCTAAATATCATTCCATTCTATCCCTGACCAGGTCTAGGGCTTGAATATAAAGATCGATACCCAGTTGAGTGGACTGTGTTAGAGGGTCAACAACATCTAACACATAGGACTCTATTGAATGCCTATTATCTAAAGAAATTGGGTCAACAACATCGTTGTTATCTTCTTCTGAAGGAGAGGGGCCCTCAGGGTCATATCCATAGAATTGAATATCATCTGGCTCTCCATCCACATCCCCATGATCCAATTACCCTCAGTACTCACTGCGTGATTGTTGAAAGCTTCAGAAAATTCTCTCAGGGAATTGTTTACTCTAGGGATAAAAATAGTGTGTAAAGCGAAAAGCTGAATTGGATCCTCGACATTAAGAATCCCTGATGATTCCATTGCATAAAAAGTATAGTAGTACAGATGACAAACACATCTATAGACTTCTCTCCAGAGGCGTTCAATCCTCTGATTGTGTGTTGATGGACCAGCAATGAAACTTGCTCTTCCTTCTCCTCGATATTGTATCATTGCATCACAAACAAGGACGTTCTCAACTCCCCTATCAACTGGGATCCTCGATGGCCAACGGTCACCATCCCTTTTGACAGCATCCAAAAACAGGTCAAGCACTGTCTCTGACAGGTTATTCGAATTACACTTTAAATATATTATACGTCTCGAAAACCCATCGACACAACCATGAATGACGAGCTTCCAGCGAATTAAAGAATGGTGCCCATCTAAGTGCCATAATGAATTGGGCCATGGGACCTGGTATACCCTTCGTGAAACAAGAATTCCCCACCTCAAAGCACTGTTTTGTGGGTCCAGTCGAGCTAGACATTCCCTTACTCTTCTTCTTTGCACTCTCAAACCCAGGGATCTTAAATATCCCGTCATATACACTTGTCCACTTGTTGCTCCATGTTCACGAATATAACCTCGCACTACGTCTTCCAACTCGTCATCAGACAGTTTACTAAGCGACCTAAAATCTTCTAAACCATAATCGTTGATCCTTCTTGATATAGTCCAACGAGATACTCCCAAAATCTGTGCAATTCTAGTGTAAGTAAATCCTAAACCCAGAAGGTCTTCAAGTAGTTCTGCAGATATGTCGAAAGCCGGCTTACCGGGTTCACCACTTCTAAGCCTGGGACAAACATTCTTCGCCACTGTGGTGGGAGACACGGCTGCTCTGGCTGAACATTGTTGCAGGGCTGATAAGACATCACTGAACGCTGATGAGAGATTATCTAAGGTTTCTTTGTCAGAGGCATTAATATTCGAACTGCTGTCTCGGAGTATACGAAGCAAACACACCGTTTCATCGACAACAACAATATGCTGCTCCACAATTTCCTCATCCATCGTCTGGGAAATCTGGTCAGTTCTTTGAAGCACCGAGTCAAGAAACCTTGGAAGGTCAGACTCCACATCGAAGCCTTGGAGCCTTGTGTCATCTTCATAAGCTCCTATTTCCGTAGCCAGCATCGCCGCCATGTTTTTAACAAGCAATGATCTGCGTCACTGACCAGAAGTAGTGAGGGCTCAAAAGAGTTGAATGAATAGTTGAATGTTGAATGAAAAGTTGAATGTTGAATGAACAGTTGAATGTTTTAAAAATTAAAGTTGAATGTTGAATAAATAGTTGAAACTGTTGAACAGATAATTGAATGGGTGAATGAAGAATTGAATTTAAAATGAATAGTTGAATGTTGAATGGGAAGTTGAATATTGAATAACGCGTTGAATGTTGAATACAAGTTGAATATTGAACGCATAGTTGAATACAAAATACAAAACTAGTTCTAAAATTAAACGAATTGAATATTGCTACATTTGGCTTGCCATACTAGATCCCATTTTCCTGAGTTGAGAGTTGCTTTTTCAAGGTACAATCACCTAAGCTAAACACCGACGAAACAATATTAATGGCTGGCACAGAATATTTTGGCGAAACCGCAGTTCAACCACGCGATCACATACCTGTCAACACCATGCAAAAATCACACAATCACACACTTTCGCGGCACAGATAAGACTATCCACAACCACGAATAATCTTCTCACGTTTAACATTAGCGAAATATCATCGAATAACTCGGAAAACTCAGCCTATTGCCAGAAATACACCTCTGGACTTTTCTCTTGCACTCTTCTAATTCAAGTTCCCGGATGTAAAGTCACACGGTCGCGGATCACCTTAGCCTTGTTTTCACACCAGACGAAGGCTGCCCGGGTCAGAGTTCACCGGCAATTTTGCTCTCACCTAATTCATTTGACTCCCAAGAGCCTGTTCCCGAGGCCAAAGACTTTGCGCGAACGAGTGAAATATTCACTCGTTCTAGAATATTGTGCCCCCCTGTACCATCACGCACTGCCTGACTACTTAAGAAAGGATATTGAACGCATTCAAAAACGTGCACTAGCAATTATTTCGCCAGGCCTTTCTTACGATGACAGCCTGTCAATGTTCAACATGGCATCTTTAGAGGACAGACGTATAGATCAATGTCAAAAATTGTTTGATTCTATTGTATCTAATCCAGATCATAAGTTGCATCATTTTCTCCCTCCCAAGAAATATTGTCATTATAATCTCAGAAGACAACGCCACTTTGCAAATCCAGTCATGCGTACCATTCGTTTTTCTAGCACATTTCTGCCATCTATGTGCTGGCGTTAGTAGTTTTTGTATAAAGTTTAATTCTTCTAAAGTATAATTTTGTAGATTTTTTAAAATTAGTACATTTTCATATTTTAAGTTTTGTATCAATTGTATTTGTAAATTCAGGCAATTCAGCCTTAGAGGGCTGCCATATGATTTGAATTAAAGCTATCTATCTATCTATCTATCTATCTATCTAGTGGTCACCTTAGAAAAGCGAACAATATCGTACCTTTCTGTCTCCGCCCGGATCAGGGTGATTGATCCGTTTAGCCAAATAAAACGAGAATATAATACGATATTGGACGATGCAGACTCTGCGAATCGTAATAACTTTGTCCCATCTCAGAGCTTTACATGATGCTCTCCGGGAAACTTTTCTCAAGGTGACCAATATATAAAACTAAACTGTTAA